GACATTTATTTTTATATTTTTTAAAAATAAATTTATCTTTACTCCTCAAATAAAATTAAATTAATATGAATTCTTATTTGTTGGTTTAGAAAGGAAAAGAGAATGGGATTTATATGACCCCGTATAAAAAATTGAGTAAGAACGATACACGATATAAAACATAGATGGTACAGGCAACATGTAGGGAATTAGCCATGTTGGTACGGGCTCAACGAATATTTTGACAGTGCTGACGTTAACAATCAAATATTTGAGTGCTTTCAATTATTCAATAATTTAAAGGTGACATTTATTTTTGTATTTTAAAAAAATAGATTTATCCTTACTCCCCAAATCAATAATTTATCTCTGGGCAGTGCTAGGAGCCTAGGACTACCTCCTGTAGTCTCCAGTCAACACATGTTTTTTTATTGGAACACGTAAATTTACTTTCGTTATGAAATGATTTATCCCTCTAATCAGTATAACGTGGCCCAATGAAAATACAAGTGTTGATCAGAGAATGCAAATGGTGAGCGTTCTTAGCATTGCTCTTGTAATTAAATTACACTTTATTAATTTTTTATTTAACTTATTTTTAAAAATAAATACAATTAGTAAAAAGCCATACAAAAATTTCTAACCATAAAACCATTTTCTTCTTTTATATGTATGTACACCATGTAGCGACTAGCCACGAGTCAATAAGAAAAACCAAAGGAGTGGTGAGGAAACAATAGAATAAGAAAAAAACAAAACAAAAAAGAAAAAAGGAAAAAGAGAGTGGTGCACGAAAAGAAAGGACGAGTCACGAGTAAATAGTCCATTGCCTATTTTCAGAAAAAACGAAAAAAGTCACGAGTCAATAGTAAAGAAATACAGTTTGTGGGGAAAAGTTGTTTTGGGATTATTATCATTGAAATGATAGAATAACAAAAAAACCAAAAAAAAAAAAAAAAAATTAGTGCAGGAAAAGAAAGGGCTAGTCACGAGTCAATAGTCCATACGCAGTGCTAGGGGCACTCGCCTCCTGCACTCTCCAGCAGGCACATGCTTTGGAATTGGGCCACGTAAGCTTACTGGGCTATGAAAGGATCACCTATCCCAACCAACATAACGTGGCCCAATGAAAATGAAAGTGCTGGTTGGAGAGTGCAAATAGCGAGTGTTCCTTGCATTGCTATTGTAATTAAATTATCATTAGTGGACAGCGACTAAAGCTGTACAAAGATCCGAAGTACATTCAAAAGATTGGAAAGCTGTTGTCAGTACGGAAGTCAATGATGGTCCTTTTTTCTTTTTCATTAGTATATTTCGCCTGACCCCAATGGGCAACGGCGCTGTCATCCGTGTGCTTTAGTGTTAATTGGGGTAAATAAAAAAAAATCAAAAAATAGATGAGCGGAAAGCTAAACTCCACTAGGATAAAGTAAATTAGCTTTTCTAAACTTTATTTTAAGGTGGTTTTATTAATTGTATTTTTTAATAATTAATTTATATTAAAAATTAATTTTAATTTATCAATTT